TCCAGACTCCTCCATCCCTCCAGATCTCCTCCATCCCTCCAGACTCCCCCATCCCTCCAGACTCCTCCATCCCTCCAGACTCCCCCATCCCTCCAGACTCCTCCATCCCTCCAGACTCCTCCATCCCTCCAGACTCCTCCATCCCTCCAGACTCCCCCATCCCTCCAGACTCCCTCCATCCCTCCAGACTCCTCCATCCCTCCAGACTCCTCCATCCCTCATACTCCTCCATCCCTCCAGCTCCTCCATCCTCCAGACTCCTCCATCCTCCAGACTCCTCCATCCCTCCAAGACTCCTCCATCCCTCCAGACTCCTACATCCCTCCAGACTCCTCCATCCCTCCTAGACTCCCCCATCCCTCCAGACTCCTCCATCCCTCCAGACTCCCCATCCCTCCAGACTCCTCCATCCCTCCAGACTCCCCCATCCCTCCAGACTCCCCCATCCCTCCAGACTCCTCCATCCCTCCAGACTCCCCCATCCCTCCAGACTCCTCCATCCCTCCTAGACTCCCCATCCCTCCAGACTCCTCCATCCCTCCAGACTCCTCCATCCCTCCTAGACTCCTCCATCCCTCCAGACTCCCCCATCCCTCCAGACTCCCCATCCCTCCAGACTCCTCAGCCCCCTCCAGACTCCCCCATCCCTCCAGACTCCTCCATCCCTCCAGACTCCCCATCCCTCCAGACTCCCTCCATCCCTCCAGACTCCCCCATCCCTCCAGACTCCCCCATCCCTCCAGACTCCTACAATCCCTCCAGACTCCTCATCCCTCCAGACTCCCCCATCCCTCCAGACTCCCCCATCCCTCCAGACTCCTACATCCCTCCAGACTCCTCTATCCCTCCAACTCCCCCATCCCTCCAGACTCCTCCATCCCTCCAGACTCTCCATCCCTCCAGACTCCCCTATCCCTCCAGACTCCTCATCCCTCTAGACTCCCCCATCCCTCCAGACTCCCCCATCCCTCCAGACTCCTCCATCCCTCCAGACTCGTCTCCATCCCTCAGACTCCCCTATCCTCCAGACTCCTCCATCCTCCAGACTCCCCCATCCCTCCAGACTCTCCATCCCTCCAGACTCCTCCATCCCTCCCAGACTCCTCCATCCCTCCAGACTCCCCCATCCCTCCAGACTCTCCTCCATCCCTCCAGACTCCCCCATCCCTCTAGACTCCTCCATCCCTCCCAGACTCCCTCCATCGCTCCAGACTCCTCCATCCCTCCAGACTCCCCCATCCCTCCAGACTCCTCCATCCCTCCAGACTCCTACATCCCTCCAGACTCCCTCCATCCCTCTAGACTCCCCATCCCTCCAGACTCCTCCATCCCTCCAGACTCCCCCATCCCTCCAGACTCCTCCATCCCTCCAGACTCCCCCATCCCTCCAGACTCCCCATCCCTCCAGGACTCCTCCATCCCTCCAGACTCCCCCATCCCTCCAGACTCCTCCATCCCTCTAGACTCCCCCATCCCTCCAGACTCCCCCATCCCTCCAGACTCCTCCATCCCTCTAGACTCCCCCATCCCTCCAGACTCCCCCATCCCTCCAGACTCCTCCATCCCTCCAGACTCTCCCATCTCTCCAGACTCCTCTATCCCTCAAGACTCCTCCCATCCCTCTAGACTCCCCATCCCTCCAGACTCCTCCATCCCTCCAGACTCCTCCATCCCTCCAGACTCCCCCCATCCCTCCAGACTCCCCCATCCCTCCAGACTCCTCCATCCCTCCAGACTCCCCCATCCCTCCAGACTCCTCCATCCCTCCAGACTCCCCCATCCCTCCAGACTCCCCCATCCCTCCAGACTCCTACATCCCTCCAGACTCCTCCATCCCTCCAGCCTCCCCCAGACTCCCATCCCTCAGACTCCCCACCCTCCAGACTCCTACATCCCTCCAGACTCCCTCTATCCCTCCAGACTTCCCCCATCCCTCCAGACTCCTCTCATCCCTCCAGACTCCTCCATCCCTCCAGACTCCCCCATCCCTCCAGGCTCCTCATCCCTCTAGACTCCCCCATCCCTCCAGACTCCCCCATCCCTCCAGACTCTCCCATCCCTCCAGACTCTCCCATCCCTACAGACTCCTCTATCCTCCAGACTCCTCCATCCCTCCAGACTCCCCCATCCCTCCAGACTCCTCCATCCCTCCAGACTCCTCCATCCCTCCAGACTCCTCCATCCCTCCAGACTCCCCCATCCCTCCAGACTCCTCCATTCCCTCCAGACTCCCCCATCCCTCCAGACTCCCCCATCCCTCTAGACTCCTCCATCCCTCCAGACTCCTCCATCGCTCCAGACTCCTCCATCCCTCCAGACTCCCCCATCCCTCCAGACTCCTCCATCCCTCCAGACTCCTACATCCCTCCAGACTCCCCCATCCCTCTAGACTCCCCCATCCCTCCAGACTCCTCCATCCCTCCAGACTCCCCCATCCCTCCAGACTCCTCCATCCCTCCAGACTCCCCCATCCCTCCAGACTCCCCCATCCCTCCAGACTCCTCCATCCCTCCAGACCTCCCCCATCCCTCCAGACTCCTCCATTCCCTCTAGACTCCCCCATCCCTCCAGACTCCCCCATCCCTCCAGACTCCTCCATCCCTCTAGACTCCCCCATCCCTCCAGACTCCCCCCATCCCTCCAGACTCCTCCATCCCTCCAGACTCTCCCATCTCTCCAGACTCCTCTATCCCTCCAGACTCCTCCATCCCTCTAGACTCCCCCATCCCTCCAGACTCCCTCCATCCCTCCAGACTCCTCCCATCCCTCCAGACTCCCCCATCCCTCCAGACTCCTCCATCCCTCCAGACTCCCCCATCCCTCCAGACTCCTCCATCCCTCTAGACTCCCCATCCCTCCAGACGTCCCCCATCCCTCCAGACTCCTCCATCCCTCTAGACTCCCCATCCCTCCAGACTCCCCCATCCCTCCAGACTCCTCCATCCCTCCAACTCTCCCATCCCTCCAGACTCCTCTATCCCTCCAGACTCCTCCATCCCTCCAGACTCCCCCATCCCTCCAGACTCCCCCATCCCTCCAGACTCCTCCATCCCTCCAGACTCCTCCATCCCTCCAGACTCCCCCATCCCTCCAGACTCCTCCATCCCTCCAGACTCCCCCATCCCTCCAGACTCCCCCATCCCTCTAGACTCCTCCATCCCTCCAGACTCCTCCATCGCTCCAGACTCCTCCATCCCTCCAGACTCCCCCATCCCTCCAGACTCCTCCATCCCTCCAGACTCCTACATCCCTCCAGACTCCCCCATCCCTCTAGACTCCCCCATCCCTCCAGACTCCTCCATCCCTCCAGACTCCCCCATCCCTCCAGACTCCTCCATCCCTCCAGACTCCCCCATCCCTCCAGACTCCCCCATCCCTCCAGACTCCTCCATCCCTCCAGACTCCCCCATCCCTCCAGACTCCTCCATCCCTCTAGACTCCCCCATCCCTCCAGACTCCCCCATCCCTCCAGACTCCTCCATCCCTCTAGACTCCCCCATCCCTCCAGACTCCCCATCCCTCCAGACTCCTCCATCCCTCCAGACTCTCCCATCTCTCCAGACTCCTCTATCCCTCCAGACTCCTCCATCCCTCTAGACTCCCCCATCCCTCCAGACTCCTCCATCCCTCCAGACTCCTCCATCCCTCCAGACTCCCCCATCCCTCCAGACTCCTCCATCCCTCCAGACTCCCCCATCCCTCCAGACTCCCCCATCCCTCCAGACTCCTCCATCCCTCTAGACTCCTCCATCCCTCCAGACTCCTCCATCGCTCCAGACTCCTCCATCCCTCCAGACTCCCCCATCCCTCCAGACTCCTCCATCCCTCCAGACTCCCCCATCCCTCCAGACTCCTCCATCCCTCCAGACTCCTACATCCCTCCAGACTCCCCCATCCCTCCAGACTCCTCCATCCCTCCAGACTCCTCCATCCCTCCAGACTCCCCCATCCCTCCAGACTCTCCCATCCCTCCAGACTCCTCCATCCCTCCAGACTCCCCCATCCCTCCAAACTCCTCCATCCCTCCAGACTCCTACATCCCTCCAGACTCCCCCATCCCTCCAGACTCCTCCATCCCTCCAGACTCCTCCATCCCTCCAGACTCCCCCATCCCTCCAGACTCCTCCATCCCTCCAGACTCCCCCATCCCTCCAGACTCCTCCATCCCTCCAGACTCCTACATCCCTCCAGACTCCCCCATCCCTCCAGACTCCTCCATCCCTCCAGACTCCTCCATCCCTCCAGACTCCTCCATCCCTCCAGACTCCCCCATCCCTCCAGACTCCTCCATCCCTCCAGACTCCTACATCCCTCCAGACTCCCCCATCCCTCCACACTCCTCCATCCCTCCAGACTCCTCCATCCCTCCAGACTCCCCCATCCCTCCAGACTCCTCCATCCCTCCAGACTCCTACATCCCTCCAGACTCCCCCATCCCTCCAGACTCCTCCATCCCTCCAGACTCCTCCATCCCTCCAGACTCCCCCATCCCTCCAGACTCCTCCATCCCTCTAGACTCCCCCATCCCTCCAGACTCCTCCATCCCTCCAGACTCCTCCATCCCTCCATACCCAATCTTCCCCGAACGCTCTCTTCTCACCCCACCTCCCACCCCACCTCTCACCCACCTCTCACCCCACCTCTCACCCCACCTCTCACCCACCTCTCACCCCACCTCTCACCCACCTCTCACCCCACCTCTCACCCACCTCTCACCCACCTCTCACCCCACCCCTCACCCACCTCTCACCCCACCCCTCACCCACCTCTCACCCACCCACCCCACCTCTCACCCCACCTCTCACTCACCCCACCTCTCACCCCACCTCTCACCCCACCTCTCACCCCACCTCTCACCCCACCTCTCACCCCATCTCTCACCCCACCTCTCACCCACCCACCCCACCTCTCACCCCACCTCTCACCCCACCTCTCACCCCACCTCTCACCCACCCACCCCACCTCTCACCCCACCTCTCACCCCACCCCACCCACCTCACCTGATGCCCGCGTCGCTCAGCTCGCGGCACACGGCCGCGTCCCCGATCACGTAGACGCGGCCGTGCGGCGGCGCCTCGAGGCGCAGGAACTGCGCGGCGAGGAACGCGGAGCCGTAGACGTCGCGCCGGGCGGCGCGGAACCCGAGGCGCCGCAGCTTCTCGCGGTGCATGGCGCGCGTCCTGCGGCTGTTGTTGGTGACGAAGAAGACGCGCTTGCCCAGGCGCTTCAGGGCGTTCACCGCGGCCGGGGCGCCGTCCAGGGCTCGGTTGCCTCGCCACAGGACGCCGTCGCAGTCGAAGAGGAAGTTGTCCGTGGAGGATAAGACCTCGTCGAGCGCGGCGCCTCGCAGGGGCTGGCATCGCTCGTCGGCGGTCAGGGACATCTTTTGTGGGCTCTGTGTGGGGAGGGCGTGGGGAGAGGAGGAGGAGAAGGAGGGGTGGGTGGGTGATGAGAGAGGGTGGTGGTGGTGGTGGTGGAGCGGGGGGGGAGGATTTGTGGTTTTGTATCAATGTGACTTTGCCCAATAGCGGGAGGGGGGATGCGGGTGGATGGCGTGGAGGACGATTGGATGGATGTGGATGGGGCTGGATTGCACACGCGGGATATGTGGGGATTGGGAAGGGTGGGTAGATGTGGGCCGTGCAACGAATGGGGTTGTGCAACGAATGGGGTGGATGGTGAGGGTGACGTGTGGGTGGTGAGGGTGGTGAGGGTGGTGTGAGGGGTGGTGAGGGTGGTGTGTGGGTGGTGAGGGTGGTGAGGGTGGTGTGTGGGTGGTGAGGGTGGTGAGGGGTGGTGTGAGGGTGGTGAGTGGGTGGTGAGGGTGGTGAGGGTGGTGAGGGTGGTGTGTGGGTGGTGAGGGTGGTGAGGGTGGTGTGAGGGTGGTGAGTGGGTGGTGAGGGTGGTGTGTGGGTGGTGAGGGTGGTGTGTGGGTGGTGTGTGGGTGGTGAGGGTGATGAGGGTGATGAGGGTGGTGTGAGGGTGGTGTGTGGGTGGTGAGGGTGGTGTGTGGGTGGTGAGGGTGGTGTGTGGGTGGTGTGAGGGTGGTGAGGGTGATGAGGGTGGTGACGGTGGTGTGAGTGTGGTGAGGGTGGTGTGTGGGTGGTGGGTGGGTGGTGAGGGTGGTGAGGGTGGTGTGAGGGTGGTGAGGGTGGTGTGAGGGTGGTGTGTGGGTGGTGAGGGTGGTGTGGGTGGTGAGGGTGGTGTGTGGGTGGTGAGAGTGGTGAGGGTGGTGAGTGGGTGGTGAGGGTGGTGTGTGGGTGGTGAGGGTGGTGTGAGGGTGGTCAGGGTGGTGTGAGGGTGGTGAAGGTGGTGTGAGGGTGGTGAGGGTGGTGTGTGGGTGGTGAGGGTGGTGAGGGTGGTGAGGGTGGTGTGTGGTTGGTGAGGGTGGTGAGGGTGGTGTGAGGGTGGTGTGTGGGTGGTGAGGGTGGTGTGTGGGTGGTGAAGGTGGTGTGTGGGTGGTGTGGGTGGTGAGGGTGGTGTGTGGGTGGTGAAGGTGGTGAGGGTGGGGTGAGGGTGGTGTGTGGGTGGTGAGGGTGGTGTCAGGGTGGTGAGGGTGGTGTGTGGGTGGTGAGGGTGGTGAAGGTCGGGTGAGGGTGGTGAGGGTGGGGTGAGGGTGGTAAGGGTGGGGTGTGGGTGGTGAGGGTGGGGTGAGGGTGGTGACGGTAGTGAGGGTGGTATGAGGGTGGTGAGGGTGGTGTGAGGGTGGTGAGGGTGGTTAGGGTGGTTGTGGGTGGTGAGGGTGGTGTGTGGGTGGTGAGGGTGGTGTGGGTGGTGAGGGTGGTGTGTGGGTGGTGTGTGAGTGGTGAGGGTGGTGTGTGCGTGGTGTGGGTGGCGAGGGTGGTGAGAGTGGTGAGGGTGGTGTGTGGGTGGTGAGGGTGGTGTGTGGGTGGTGTGGGTGGTGAGGGTGGTGTGAGGGTGGTGTGGGTGGTGTGTTGGTGGTGAGGGTGGTGTGTGGGTGGTGTGTGGGTGGTGAGGGTGGGGTGGGTGGTGTGTGGGTGGTGAGGGTGGTGTGTGGGTGGTGAGGGTGGTGTGGGTGGTGTGTGGGTGGTGAGGGTGGTGTGTGCGTGGTGAGGGTGGTGTGGGTGGTGTGTGGGTGGTGAGGGTGGTGTGTGGGTGGTGAGGGTGGTGTGTGGGTGGTGAGGGTGGTGTGTGGGTGGTGAGGGTGGTGAGGGTGGTGAGGGTGGTGTGAGGGTGGTGTGAGGGTGGTGAGGGTGGTGTGTGAGTGGTGAAGGTGGTGTGAGGGTGGTGTGTGGGTGGTGAGGGTTGTGTGTGGGTGGTGAGGGTGGGGTGTGGGTGGTGAGGGTGGGGTGGGTGGTGTGTGGGTGGTGAGGGTGGTGTGTGGGTGGTGTGGGTGGTGAGGGTGGTGTGGGTGTTGAGGGTGGTGTGGGTGGTGTGTGGGTGGTGAGGGTGGTGTGTGCGTGGTGAGGGTGGTGTGGGTGGTGTGTGGGTGGTGTGTGGGTGGTGAGGGTGGTGTGTGGGTGGTGAGGGTGGTGTGTGGGTGGGGTGGGTGGTGTGTGGGTGGTGAGGGTGGTGAGGGTGGTGAGGGTGGTGTGAGGGTGGTGTGTGGGTAGTGAGGGTGGTGTGTGGGTGGTGAGGGTGGTGTGTGGGTGGTGAGGGTGGTGAGGGTGGTGTGTGGGTGGTGTGAGTGGTGAGGGTGGTGTGTGGGTGGTGAGGGTGGTGTGTGGGTGGTGAGGGTGGTGAGGGTGGTGTGTGGGTGGTGTGGGTGGGGAGGGTGGTGTGTGGGTGGTGAGGGTGGTGTGTGGGTGGTGAGGGTGGTGAGGGTAGTGTGTGGTGAGGGTGGTGAGGGTGGTGAGGGTGGTGTGTGGGTGGTGAGGGTGGTGTGTGGGTGGTGAGCGTGGTGAGGGTGGTGTGTGGGTGGTGTGGGTGGTGAGGGTGGTGTGTGGGTGGTGAGGGTGGTGTGTGGGTGGTGAGGGTGGTGAGGGTGGTGTGTGGGTGGTGTGGGTGGGGAGGGTGGTGTGTGGGTGGTGAGGGTGGTGTGTGGGTGGTGAGGGTGGTGAGGGTAGTGTGTGGTGAGGGTGGTGAGGGTGGTGAGGGTGGTGTGTGGGTGGTGTGGGTGGTGAGGGTGGTGTGTGGGTGGTGAGGGTGGTGTGTGGGTGGTGAGCGTGGTGAGGGTGGTGTGTGGGTGGTGTGGGTGGTGAGGGTGGTGTGTGGGTGGTGTGGGTGGTGTGTGGGTGGTGAGGGTGGTGTGTGGGTGGTGAGGGTGGTGTGAGGGTGGTGAGCGTGGTGTGTGGGTGGTGAGGGTGGTGTGGGTGGTGTGTGCGTGGTGAGGGTGGTGTGTGGGTGGTGTGTGGGTGGTGAGGGTGGTGTGTGGGTGGTGGGGGTGGTGAGGGTGGTGAGGGTGGTGTGTGGGTGGTGAGGGTGGTGTGTGGGTGGTGTGGGTGGTGTGAGGGTGGTGAGGGTGGTGAGGGTGGTGTGTGGGTGGTGAGGGTGGTGTGGGTGGTGTGAGGGTGGTGAGGGTGGTGAGGGTTGTGTGTGGGTGGCGAGGGTGGTGTGTGGGTGGTGAGGGTGGTGTGAGGGTGGTGTGGGTGGTGTGTGGGTGGTGTGGGTGGTGAGGGTGGTGAGGGTGGTGTGTGGGTGGTGAGGGTGGTGAGGGTGGTCAGGGTAGTGTGGGTGGTGAGGGTGGTGTGTGGGTGGTGAGGGTGGTGTGTGGGTGGTGAGGGTGGTGAGGGTGGTGAGGGTGGTGTGGGTGGTGAGGGTGGTGTGTGGGTGGTGAGAGTGGTGTGTGGGTGGTGAGGGTGGTGTGTGGGTGGTGAGGGTGGTGTGTGGGTGGTGAGGGTGGTAAGGGTGGTGAGGGTGGTGTGAGGGTGGTGAGGGTGGTGAGAGTGGTGTGTGGGTGGTGAGGGTGGTGTGAGGGTGGTGAGGGTGGTGTGTGGGTGGTGAGGGTGGTGTGTGGGTGGTGAGGGTGGTGTGTGGGTGGTGAGGTTGGTGTGTGGGTGGTGAGGGTGGTGTGTGGGTGGTGAGGGTGGTGAGGGTGGTGAGGGTGGTGAGGGTGGTGTGTGGGTGGTGAGGGTGGTGAGGGTGGTGAGGGTGGTGTGTGGGTGGTGAGAGTGGTGAGGGTGGTGTGTGGGTGGTGAGGGTGGTGAGGGTGGTGAGGGTGGTGAGGGTGGTGTGAGGGTGGTGAGGGTGGTGAGAGTGGTGTGTGGGTGGTGAGGGTGGTGAGGGTGGTGTGAGGGTGGTGAGGGTGGTGATGGTGGTGTGTGGGTGGTGAGGGTGGTGAGGGTGGTGTGTGGGTGGTGAGGGTGGTGAGGGTGGTGTGAGGGTGGTGAGGGTGGTGTGTGGGTGGTGAGGGTGGTGTGAGGGTGGTGAGGGTGGTGAGGGTGGTGTGTGGGTGGTAAGGGTGGTGAGGGTGGTGTGAGGGTGGTGAGGGTGGTGAGAGTGGTGTGTGGGTGGTGAGGGTGGTGTGAGGGTGGTGAGGGTGGTGTGTGGGTGGTGAGGGTGGTGTGTGGGTGGTGAGGGTGGTGTGTGGGTGGTGAGGGTGGTGTGTGGGTGGTGAGGGTGGTGAGGGTGTGAGGGTGGTGTGTGGGTGGTGAGGGTGGTGAGGGTGGTGTGTGGGTGGTGAGAGTGGTGAGGGTGGTGTGTGGGTGGTGAGGGTGGTGAGGGTGGTGTGTGGGTGGTGAGGGTGGTGAGGGTGGTGTGTGGGTGGTGAGGGTGGTGAGGGTGGTGAGGGTGGTGTGTGGGTGGTGAGGGTGGTGAGGGTGGTGTGTGGGTGGTGAGGGTGGTGAGGGTGGTGTGTGGGTGGTGAGGGTGGTGTGTGGGTGGTGAGGGTGGTGAGGGTGGTGTGTGGGTGGTGAGGGGGGTGAGGGGGGGGTGTGGGTGGTGAGGGTGGTGTGTGGGTGGTGAGGGTGGTGAGGGTGGTGTGTGGGTGGTGAGGGTGGTGTGTGGGTGGTGAGGGTGGTGAGGGTGGTGTGTGGGTGGTGAGGGTGGTGAGGGTGGTGTGTGGGTGGTGAGGGTGGTGTGTGGGTGGTGAGGGTGGTGAGGGTGGTGAGGGTGGTGAGGGTGGTGTGTGGGTGGTGAGGGTGGTGAGGGTGGTGTGTGGGTGGTGAGGGTGGTGAGGGTGGTGTGTGGGGTGGTGAGAGTGGTGAGGGTGGTGTGGGGGTGGTGAGGGTGGTGAGGGTGGTGAGGGTGGTGAGGGTGGTGTGAGGGTGGTGAGGGTGGTGAGAGTGGTGTGTGGGTGGTGAGGGTGGTGAGGGTGGTGTGAGGGTGGTGAGGGTGGTGATGGTGGTGTGTGGGTGGTGAGGGTGGTGAGGGTGGTGTGTGGGTGGTGAGGGTGGTGAGGGTGGTGTGAGGGTGGTGAGGGTGGTGTGTGGGTGGTGAGGGTGGTGTGAGGGTGGTGAGGGTGGTGAGGGTGGTGTGTGGTTGGTAAGGGTGGTGAGGGTGGTGTGAGGGTGGTGAGGGTGGTGAGAGTGGTGTGTGGGTGGTGAGGGTGGTGTGAGGGTGGTGAGGGTGGTGTGTGGGTGGTGAGGGTGGTGTGTGGGTGGTGAGGGTGGTGTGTGGGTGGTGAGGGTGGTGTGTGGGTGGTGAGGGTGGTGAGGGTGGTGAGGGTGGTGTGTGGGTGGTGAGGGTGGTGAGGGTGGTGTGTGGGTGGTGAGGGTGGTGAGGGTGGTGTGTGGGTGGTGAGGGTGGTGAGGGTGGTGAGGGTGGTGTGTGGGTGGTGAGGGTGGTGAGGGTGGTGTGTGGGTGGTGAGGGTGGTGAGGGTGGTGAGGGTGGGGTGTGGGTGGTGAGGGTGGTGTGGGTGGTGTGTGGGTGGTGAGGGTGGTGAGGGTGGTGTGTGGGTGGTGAGGGTGGTGTGTGGGTGGTGAGGGTGGTGAGGGTGGTGTGTGGGTGGTGAGGGTGGTGAGGGTGGTGTGTGGGTGGTGAGGGTGGTGTGTGGGTGGTGAGGGTGGTGAGGGTGGTGTGTGGGTGGTGAGGGTGGTGTGTGGGTGGTGAGAGTGGTGAGGGTGGTGTGTGGGTGGTGAGGGTGGTGCGGGTGGTGTGTGGGTGGTGAGGGTGGTGTGTGGGTGGTGAGGGTGGTGAGGGTGGTGAGGGTGGTGAGTGGGTGGTGAGGGTGGTGAGGGTGGTGAGTGGGTGGTGAGGGTGGTGAGGGTGGTGTGTGGGTGGTGAGGGTGGTGTGTGGGTGGTGAGGGTGGTGAGGGTGGTGTGTGGGTGGTGAGGGTGGTGAGGGTGGTGTGTGGGTGGTGAGGGTGGTGAGGGTGGTGTGTGGGTGGTGAGGGTGGTGAGGGTGGTGAGGGTGGTGTGTGGGTGGTGAGGGTGGTGTGTGGGTGGTGAGGGTGGTGAGGGTGGTGAGGGTGGTGAGGGTGGTGTGTGGGTGGTGTGGGTGGTGGGGGTGGTGTGTGGGTGGTGTGGGTGGTGAGGGTGGTGTGTGGGTGGTGCGGGTGGTGTGTGGGTGGTGAGGGTGGTGAGGGTGGTGTGTGGGTGGTGAGGGTGGTGAGGGTGGTGTGTGGGTGGTGAGGGTGGTGAGGGTGGTGTGTGGGTGGTGAGGGTGGTGAGGGTGGTGAGGGTGGTGTGTGGGTGGTGAGGGTGGTGTGTGGTTGTATTACAAAAGCCGAGAGGGTCGCGATGCGGGGAGCGAGTGGACGGAGCTGATGGCACTAATAAGCGCCGCAGCCGCTGATGACGTTGGTGGCGATGGTACTGCTGATGATGATGACGTTGGAGCTGCCGCTGCTGATGATGATGATTATGACGTTGCTGCTGCTGATGATGATGACAGTGCTGCTGCTGATGATGATGACGTTGGGGCTGCCGATGCTGCTACTGCTGATGATCGTGCGAACGATGCGAAGGCTCGTGATAGATGTCGACGCTGCTTCTTAGGGTGGTGACGATGGTCATGATGATGATGATGGTGGTGGTGATGGCCGCTGTAAATCCGAGAGACAAACAACAACACGCGCGCACCGCCCGCGCCGAGAGCGATCGGCGCTGCGCACGCGTGGAGGGGGCGGGGAGACGGAACGGGCACGCCCCCAGAGCCCCCAGAGCCCCCACTCTCCCTCCCCCACTCTCCCTCCCCCACTCTCCCTCCCCCACTCCCCCTCCCCCACTCCCCTCCCCCACTTTCCCTCCCCCACTCCCCCTCCCCCACTTTCCCTCCCCACTCTCCCTCCCCACTCCCCTCCCCCACTCTCCCTCCCCACTCTCCCTCCCCCTCCCCCACTCTCCCTCCCCCACTCTCCCTCCCCCACTCTCCCTCCCCCACTCTCCCTCCCCCACTCTCCCTCCTCCTCCCCCACTCTCCCTCCCCTAACCCCCACTCTCCCTCCTCCTCCCCCACTCTCCCTCCCCCACTCTCCCTCCCCCACTCTCCCTCCCCCACTCTCCCTCCCCCACTCTCCCTCCCCCTCCCTCACTCTCCCTCCCCCACTCTCCCTCCCCCACTCTCCCTCCCCCTCCCCCACTCTCCCTCCTCCTCCCCCACTCTCCCTCCCCCTCCCCCACTCTCCCTCCCCCTCCCCCACTCTCCCTCCCCCACTCTCCCTCCCCCTCCCCCACTCTCCCTCCCCCAATCTCCCTCCCCTCCCCCACTCTCCCTCCTCCTCCCCCACTCTCCCTCCCCCACTCTCCCTCCCCCTCCCTCACTCTCCCTCCCCCACTCTCCCTCCCCCACTCTCCCTCCCCACTCTCCCTCCCCCACTCTCCCTCCCCCTCCCCCACTCTCCTCCCCCACTCTCCCTCCCCCTCCCCCACTCTCCCTCCCCCACTCTCCCTCCCCCACTCTCCCTCCCCCACTCTCCCTCCCCCACTCTCCCTCCCCCTCCCCCACTCTCCCTCCCCCTCCCCCACTCTCCTCCCCCTCCCCCACTCTCCCTCCCCCTCCCCCACTCTCCCTCCCCCTCCCCCAATCTCCCTCCCTCACTCTCCCTCCCCCACTCTCCCTCCCCCACTCTCCCTCCCCCTCCCCCACTCTCCCTCCTCCTCCCCCACTCTCCCTCCCCCTCCCCCACTCTCCCTCCCCCTCCCCCACTCTCCTCCCCACTCTCCCTCCCCTCCCCCACTCTCCCTCCCCCAATCTCCCTCCCACTCACCCACTCTCCCTCCTCCTCCCCACTCTCCCTCCCCCACTCTCCCTCCCCCTCCCTCACTCTCCCTCCCCCACTCTCCCTCCCCACTCTCCCTCCCCCACTCTCCTCCCCCACTCTCCCTCCCCCTCCCCCACTCTCCCTCCCCCACTCTCCCTCCCTCCCCCACTCTCCCTCCCCACTCTCCCTCCCCCACTCTCCCTCCCCCACTCTCCCTCCCCCACTCTCCCTCCCCCTCCCCCACTCTCCCTCCCCCTCCCCCACTCTCCCTCCCCCTCCCCCACTCTCCCTCCCCCTCCCCACTCTCCCTCCCCCTCCCCCAATCTCCCTCCCCCACTCTCCCTCCCCCCTCTCCCTCCCCCACTCCCCCTCCCCCACTTCCTCCCCACTCTCCCTCCCCACTCCCCCTCCCCACTCTCCCCTCCCCCACTCTCCCTCCCCCTCCCCCACTCTCCCTCCCCCACTCTCCCTCCCCCTCCCACTCTCCCTCCCCACTCTCCCTCCCCCACTCTTCCTCCTCCTCCCCCACTCTCCCTCCCCTAACCCCACTCTCCCTCCTCCTCCCCCACTCTCCCTCCCCCACTCTCCCTCCCCCACTCTCCCTCCCCCACTCTCCCTCCCCCACTCTCCCTCCCCCTCCCTCCTCTCCCTCCCCCACTCTCCCTCCCCCACTCTCCCTCCCCCTCCCCCACTCTCCTCCTCCTCCCCCACTCTCCCTCCCCCTCCCCCACTCTCCCTCCCCCTCCCCCACTCTCCCTCCCCCACTCTCCCTCCCCCTCCCCCACTCTCCCTCCCCCAATCTCCCTCCCCCTCCCCCACTCTCCCTCCTCCTCCCCCACTCTCCCTCCCCCACTCTCCCTCCCCCTCCCTCACTCTCCCTCCCCACTCTCCCTCCCCCACTTCTCCCTCCCCCACTCTCCCTCCCCCACTCTCCTCCCCCCTCCCCACTCTCCTCCCCACTCTCCCTCCCCCTCCCACCCTCCCTCCCCCACTCTCCTCCCCCCACTCTCCCTCCCCCACTCTCCCTCCCCCACTCTCCCTAACCACCACTCTCCCTCCCCCCTCCCCCACTCTCCCTCCCCCTCCCCCACTCTCCCTCCCCCTCCCCCACTCTCCCTCCCCTCCCCCAGTCTCCCTCCCCTCCCGCCAATCTCCCTCCCCCACTCTCCACTCCCCCACTCTCCTCGCCCCCACTCCCCTCCCCCACTTTCCCTCCCCACTCTCCCTCCCACTCCCCTCCCCCACTCTCTACCTCCCCCACTCTCCCTCCCCCTCCCCCAATCTCCCTCCCCCACTCTCCCCCCCTCCCCCACTCTCCCTCCCCCACTCTCCCTCCCCCACTCTCCCTCCTCCCTCCCCCACTCTCCCTCCCCTAACCCCCACTCTCCCTCCTCCTCCCCACTCTCCCTCCCCCACTCTCCCTCCCCCACTCTCCCTCCCCCACTCTCCCTCCCCACTCTCCTCCCCCCCTCCCTCACTCTCCCCTCCCCCACTCTCCCTCCCCCACTCTCCCTCCCCCTCCCCCACTCTCCCTCCTCCTCCCCCACTCTCCCTCCCCCTCCCCCACTCTCCCTCCCCCTCCCCCACTCTCCCTCCCCCACTCTCCCTCCCCCTCCCCCACTCTCCCTCCCCCACTCTCCCTCCCCCTCCCCCACTCTCCCTCCCCCTCCCTCACTCTCCCTCCCCCACTCTCCCTCCCCCACTCTCCCTCCCCCACTCTCCCTCCCCCACTCTCCCTCCCCCTCCCCCACTCTCCCTCCCCCACTCTCCCTCCCCCTCCCCCACTCTCCCTCCCCCACTCTCCCTCCCCCACTCTCCCTCCCCCACTCTCCCTCCCCCCACTCTCCCTCCCCCTCCCCCACTCTCCCTCCCCCTCCCCCACTCTCCCTCCCCCTCCCCCACTCTCCCTCCCCCTCCCCCAATCTCCCTCCCCCACTCTCCCTCCCCCACTCTCCCTCCCCCACTCTCCCTCCCCCACTCTCCCTCCCCCACTCTCCCTCCCCCTCCCCCACTCTCCCTCCCCCACTCTCCCTCCTCCTCCCCCCCCCCCCCCGTTTATTCCCCTGATCCCACCTCACCCCCGAACCTCCTGATCCCACCGTCCTGATTCTATGCTCCCGTGACCCCCCCCCCCCCCTACTCATAACCCCCTCCCCTTGATCCTCAAAACTCTACCTAGCTCCTCTTGACCCCCCACACACCCCTGATCCCTCTACCTCCCTCTGATCCTCATCACTACCCCCCCCCCCCCCCCCCCCCCGATCTCCCCTGATCACCCACCCAACTCTAGCTCACCTTACCTATGTGTGCTATGGTTTGCTTGACTGAGATGACCGGCAGATGCACCACCACCTGCGCTTTGCCAAATCACTGCGTTTTATCCGCCCGGAGCTCCGCTCGCTGTTGTGAGGCGTCGCTCCTCTGCCCTTCCGCTGTTGCTGGAGGGCGACTGCCTCCTACCGCTCAGTAGCAGCAGCGTCCTCCTCCTCCACAGAGCCCGATCTTGACACCGCTGGTACCGGTCATCGGCAAGTCCACTCAACTCCACGTCCACCTGTATACCGCATCGGCTCCATCTGTTCTCCAGCCCGTGCTGCGCGCCCGTTTAGCCCCCTCTCTGTCCGGCCGAACAAAAGCTGCCTCGGCATGGCGTTAGCTGGGCACGGGGGCTTCGTGACCCAGCCAATGCAGCCTCGCCTGCCAAACTGAGCTCACCGATGCGACTTAGTCCAGACCCTTCAAAGATCGTCGCAGGAAGGCCAGCCTCAATGTTCAAAACCTGCAAAGTGGCCACGGTTTTCGCACGCGCAGAGATCTTTGTATTGAGCGATAGGCCACAGCGTTACGCGCGCAGCCAATGAGATGCTGATGCCGCTGCGCTGATTCGGAGTGAGATCTCCCGCTGCCAATGCGGTGGTGGTCCTTAAGCACACTGCCCAGGTAGGGGAACTCCTCCACTCTGTCCACAACTTTTCACATTGCTCGTATCGAGCTGAGGGGTTGGAGTGTCTGATGAAATGAAATGCCCAGGTGGGTGAATTGTTTTCGTCTGACTGAGTCTCTCAAACTTCGTCTCAGAGTGAGCAGCAATCACCACATTCATGAGCGTACATCACATGGTTGATCAGTTGTGAGCCATCCCTTGGCGACACCGGGGGCATCGATCAGCCTTCCCATTGCATCTGTACCAGATGGATAATAATCTCTTGGTCCGATCATGGGAAAACTTCGCCTACTGCGTGTAGCAGGCAGAGGATATATCTCCGTCGCACCCCAAAGGTGAACAGGGAATGGCTCCGACTCCTCGCCACGGCAACTTTTACCCGGCACTCGTCCGCCAAGCGTAGAGATCCCAAGCGCGTTCACGGCTCCGTGTGATGTTTGCGGGTGTTTTTTTTTTAAATTCCACCACGCGCTAAACTCTGCGGGGGAATTTCCACGAGTTGAGTCGAAGATCCCCACCCTCCACACCCCCTCCCCCCACCCCCTCGTGACAGCCGCTGCCAAATGCAGCACGGCCGTCTTTGTATCTCCCCCCCCCCCGGCGCTGATGTTTACACGGAGCAGCGGGTAGTGCCGGATGAAGCTAGTGCGGGGCCTCTAGCGTATTTGACGTTTAAAAGGGGCCCTAAATTCATGGCGTGGAAACTACCTCCCGGCCTAACCCAAAAAAAACACACGGATCAAGTGAATCACGATTCAGCTGCCTTAACACTTCACGTAAATATTCCAAAAAAACACACAAATGTTTAACTTGCATAGTAAAATAATTGATTTTTTTTCATTTGATACACAGCCAGATAATACGACAAATCGCTAACTTTAAACACCCAGTGTTTCGTAAAAGTTGAAGGCGGTATAGTACTATAGTAATAGAGCAAGTGCAGAATCACTGAACCGGAATTGATAGCTTGAAAGAATTTAGCGCGCGACCCTTGAAAGTGCGGGGC